TAGCTAGTGTAGCTGTGTGTAGTGGTAGCTAGTGTGGCTGTGTGTAGCGGTAGCTAGTGTGGCTGTGTGTAGCGGTAGCTAGTGTGGCTGTGTGTAGCGGTAGCTCTCGTGGCTGTGTGTAACGGTAGCTAGTGTTGTGTGTAGTGGCTGGTCACGTGGCTGTGTGTAGCGGTAGCTAGTGTGGCTGTGTGTAGCGGTAGCTAGTGTGGCTGTGTGTAGTGGTAGCTAGCGTGGCTGTGTGCAGCTGTTGCTAGCGTGGCTGTGTGTAGCGGTAGCTAGTGTGGCTGTGTGTAACGGTAGCTAGTGTGGCTGTGTGTAGCGGTAGCTAATGTGGCTGTGTGTAGCGGTAGCTAGTGTGGCTGTGTGTAGCGGTAGCTAGCATGGCTGTGTGTAGCGGTAGCTAGTGTGGCTGTGTGTAGCTGTTGTACGTGTGGATGTGTGTACCGGTAGCTAGCGTGGCTGTGTGTAGCGGTAGCTAGCGTGGCTGTGTGTAGCGGTAGCTAATGTGGTTGTGTGTAACGGTAGCTAGTGTGGCTGTGTGTAGCGGTAGCTAGCATGGCTGTGTGTAGCGGTAGCTCGTGTGGCTGTGTGTAGCGGTAGCTAGTGTGGCTGTGTGTAGCGGTAGCTAGTGTGGCTGTGTGTAGCGGTAGCTAGTGTGGCTGTGTGTAGTGGCTGGTCACGTGGCTGTGTGTAGCGGTAGCTAGTGTGGCTGTGTGTAGCTGTTGCTCTCATGGCTGTGTGTAGCGGTAGCTAGCGTGGCTGTGTGTAGCGGTAGCTAGTGTGGCTGTGTGTAGCGGTAGCTAGTGTGGCTGTGTCTAGCGGTAGCTAGTGTGGCTGTGTGTAGCGGTAGCTAGCGTGGCTGTGTGTAGCGGTAGCTAGTGTGGCTCTGTGTGTAGCGGTAGCTAGTGTGGCTGTGTGTAGCGGTAGCTAGTGTGGCTGTGTGTAGCGGTAGCTAGTGTGGCTGTGTGTAACGGTAGCTAGCGTGGCTGTGTGTAGCGGTAGCTAGTGTGGCTGTGTGTAGTGGCTGGTCACGTGGCTGTGTGTAGCGGTAGTTAGTGTGGCTGTGTGTAGCGGTAGCTAGTGTGGCTGTGTGTAGTGGTAGCTAGCGTGGCTGTGTGCAGCTGTT